AAACGATCACAAGATGTGTTCTCATCAAGACATATGCCCGCAGACACTCAAAGACTGCTTTCTGTTTGACATTCATGTCGAAGTCCACTTCCATATCTTGGATGATTTTGCTAAAAAGGGCACATGCCAAAGTTTTTAATGTGCCATAAAATATATTATTGAGTTGTAACAAATAAAAAGTGTCAATAAAATGTTATAATGAGTAACTAAAAGTAGCACGGATTTATGAAACAGTTCAGATTTTAATACATAAAATATGTGTCACATAAAACTTTTATTCTATTATGAGAAATAAAAAAGCTCCTTCAAATATTTGTTTATATTATGGCAAATAAAAAAATATCACTAAAATATTAAAATGTGTAACTAATAATAATATGAACTCTTGAATAAAATGAGCATTTAATGACACGAAAGAAATGTCACAAAAAACTTTCCTACTACCGTGACAAATAAAAAAGTGTCACTATAATCCTAAAAAACTATAACATTATGTTTTTGTTTTAGTAAGAGTGTTTTTAGTGATACTAATTATGTGTGCTGCTGATTATTTAAGAAGTCATTAGTGACATTTTTTTTGTGTGTTTTAGTAAGACTTTAAATGATATATTCATCATCTCTAGAAGATTTAGATTGTTGGCATATGAAATAATAACTTTGAGTTCCCCTACACATGTTAGAAAATATTTGACATTAGAAGTTGTACACGAGATGGTAGTACATGAAGCTGCAAGAGTAGTTATGGTGCAAAAATGCAACAAGAGGGTTTTACCTTATTGGAGAGTGGTTAATAACAACAATACATATAGCAACAAGCCATCATGTACAAGCTGATCTGCGATGTTGGTATGGTGCGGAATGATGGCACGCAGAGGAGAAAACCACGAGTAATGAGGGATCATTGAAGAGGTAAGGTTTTTACATATCATATATTTCAGTGTAACATTACGAACAAATTTCCGATGGAATATAAAATTTATCAAAATCTTTAGTAATTCCTTGTTAATATTTTTTTCAAACCGCCGATGGTATTATTTTAGTCTAATTCGTCGCAATCTATAACAAAATAGTGGTTTTTTTCCTTATCAGTATTCCAATGGACTTTTTTAGTGGATACAATTTTTCTACAATTCTAACCCCTTTTTGTAGGATTGTTGATTTTTCATATCAAGGGACAAAACTTAAAAAAGTAAACATTATTTTCTTATATAAATGAAGTTCTTACAAAATATTTTATTATATTGGAAGTCCTTTTAGTGGGAAAAAACGTATGATGGGTTTGAATTATTGAGAAAAAAATGTCAACTCACGTAATAACTTAGGGCCACAAATGACCACATTGTATTGTATGTGAGTTGGCTGGAAGGTTTCTTGAAATACATCATCTTTTAAACACTTTTGACTTATGAAAAAGACATGTTATTTTAAATTTTATTAAAATTTAAGACAAAAAACCCAAACATGTGCATTGAGAATCACTTATTTTACAACATAGATTGCTACAAGTTACGAGTACTAAACATATAATAACTTTGATCCTCTTATGTGTAAAATGAAAATGACAAAAAAAAAAGGATATAATGAATTGTAAGTAGCCTAAAATATAGTTTATATAGATAAACTCAAGATTGTAAAGATTGAAATTTTAATTACTTTATGATCTATGGCTTTCAAATAGGGTGATTGTAAGATTTGATTGGGATCCAAAAATCCTAGCAAAATGAATTATTTTTCAAATTTGTTTGCTATATTTTCTTTATAGATTACATCCGTTAACTAAATATCGATTAAGACATTGATGATGGAATCAATTATAATTTGTTAGCTGGTAACCATATAATTTTTGCAAATGCAAACCACAACAAATAAGAAAATGAAACATATTTGATAAAAATAATAATGAGATCATCGTGGCCATGTACATCCAAATGCTCAAGATCACAAACAAACTAATTTGTTTGTCACATTATTGTTCCTAATTTAAGGTGCATAGATGAGGTTTTTATGCTTTATGAAATTTATTGAAATCTATATTTCTAAAATTCAAACTATATAAAGACAAGTTCAAACAATCTTTTTTAAAATTTGTTGAATTGTGAATTTATAGAATAAAAGATAAAAAAAATAGTTAGTTCAACCTAACTTAAAACATTTTAAACTAGTTCATTTTACTACCCAAAAAATAAAAATAAAATAATCATAAATTGATTATATTATGATAAGAATTGTGACATTTAACAAAATGAACGCAATTTTAATGAATCGAACAAACAGCCGTCAAGTTTCAAATTTGATTGGTTAAATCGGAACAATTCACAACTCCATATAATATGTTCTCTTATATATTTCAAAATTCTTGATCAAATTCGTATATAAATTTATTGAACATTCAACACAAACTTGGTAAGTTATTATGCTTTTTATATACTAGTTGAATGTATATTTTTCTAGTTTTTATGGTACTAATGTTAGTTTTGTTTATTGAAGTTATATATCATTTTATAACTTGTTAAAATCGACATGTAATGGTCTAGCATTGCTAGGAGCTCTATCCATGGATATTCATCAATAAAAATGTTTACCTCCCTAGGAACCGTCTTACACCACCTCAAACAAGGGTTACCACCAACCAAGGAAATTTTGCACAATATGATCGGTTCACAGAATCTGCCGAAGGGTCCATCAACGGGAAGCCAATAACAGAGCTCTAGCAATATTTTAAGCATTCTATGGTTTGAATATTGGATCTCATTTATGATATTATGAACCTCGACCATTAGGCTTTCATCTTTTGGGTATACCAATGTTCTAATCCTACATGATCACATAATTAAACCAAAAACTCACATGCAAACACCTTTCAAGCTTGGTCCTAATGTGTTAAGACACAAAACTGAATCAATTTAACCAATCAACTACTAACATTATATATTTAATTATTTTACCATGTGTAATAATCAATATATATATATATATATATATATATATATATATATATATATATATATATATATATATATATATATATATATAATTAGATTATACAAAATAATGATTAGTTCAAAGTTAATGATGCAATTAGTGACAAATTATGAGGCTTAATATTTAGAAAAAAACGTCACTTTGATCAGGCAGTAAATTCGAGTTAGTGGAAAGGTTTCGTCAGTTAAGCATCTACGCATTATATATAGCACGGAAAATTGAGTGGAATCCCCACATAAATTTTGATAATCGGCTTAGAAACAAGGGAGAAATCAAAGGAAGAAGCTCGTAAAGCATTTTCAAAGTTTCTTGGAAATTAAGGTGTGATTATTTGATTTGAGCTTGATGTAATTTCTTAGATAGTTTAATATGACTTCTAAACATGTTTTGGTTCGACCTCCTATCCCAATTTCATCCAACTAGTACCAAAATTGACAAGATTCATAACACATTTTTTTCAGTAGTTGTTTTATCCACTCTGTTATGGAGCGAAATTTCAATAATTGTTTAATGGATTATTGATAGACAAAGATGGAAATAAACAATGGTGATTCTTATTAAATTATTTGATATCATTTTGAGAAAAATCAGACTTCAGCATATTTAAAAAAAATGGTAGAAAATAAAATGTTTTTCGGATGGAAAAGAAGCTCTAAAAGGTCTTTGGTATAATTCATTTAATGAATATGTCTTTACTTAGTCAAATGGACAATATGGGTAAATGGTTTAAAACCACTATCCATACCTTTATGGACGTTTTATTATTCCAATTATTCAAGAAATACATTTTTAACCCTTAACTTTCAGTTTTGTTTAATTTTAACTATCAACAAAGAAATCACAAATTTTAAATCTGGCTGTGAGTTATATAAGGTTGTTGATTAAATTGAAATTATGGAAATGAACGCATCTAGTTTTTATCCTAGATACTTTTATACTGTATAGTTAAAAATATATTTGGAAGTTACCAAATAGTGCCATAAAAACATCTTAGTTTTGTTTGGGGTCATTTTCTCATTCATATTAAAGTATTATTTCGAAAAAAAAGTATTGTAATATATATTACAAAAAAATTGTAACTATTATTTGGTTGGATGAGACATATGTACGGTTGAACCAAAATGATCGTATAGGGTGTTGTCTAGAAGTAAGGCTCAGAAAAATATGTTGGTTAAATGTAGGGTGCGTGTAGCTCGACAAACTTTGGTTAAGACCTAACGCCAACAATGTAAGTTTCGTGTGAATTTTGTGGTTGCTTGCATGAGAAGTTGATTCTAATTTATTTTCAATTACATGTTACCATTGTTATTGCTATGAATATTTGTGAGAATTTTATGAACTATTTCATGTAAAAAAGTGAAAACGGTGGGTGACATATATTTAGGGAACAAGTGTATTTACACGGTCTTACTATTAGTCGTCGTACATGGTGTTAGTACGCGGCAGAGAGCTTACGCTCTATTTATCTAGCCATAAGCATATTTGTTGTGTCCGGCAGAGGGACTTGTCCCTTGGAAATGATAGTAGTTCCCTAATGTGTCACCTAAGGGTGGTAAGAAATGAAACGAATTATATTTGATTAATTGGTGCATTTGTTTTACTTTATTGACTTCAATATGTATGAAAACCACGAACTCACTAGGCCCTAGGCTTACCCATTAGAATCTTTAAATGTACGCAACACATGAAATAATGTAGCGACTGGCAGCGGGAATGGGAACGATAAAGCTCAGACTTGAAGATGGTGACAAGTTTTGAGGAGGTCGCATCACACCAAGTGTTTACTTAAATTTCTATTTGCTTCCGCTATTATCATTAACAATGACACTAGTACTTTCATTTTCGAATTTTAGAAGTTTCAAGACTATGTTAAGTTAATATTCGTATTTGAAATTTAGGGCATTACAAGTTGGTATCAGAGCGTTGTTTAAGTAGATTAGTCGTTGTTTAAACGCCTAAGCTTAAACGGGAGGAGCGGTACATTGCCTAATCTGGAATGTATCTCGTTTGTAGGTACTATGGATCGTGGAAAGGCAGTTGTCAATGGTGGGGTGTCAGTAGAGGGTACTAGTGGGTTACTTCCTCACGAGAAGTTGAAGGTCAAGTTAAAGCTCTCTGATTTGGAAGGCAGTATGGAACTAACGACCCCACTCAACCTCTCTGAGCGAGATGAAGAAGATGAGGATGTGGAATACGAGGTTGAGCCCGACGAAGATCCTGAAGAAGATCCCGAGGAAGACCTTGATGAGGAACCTGAAGAAGACCCCGAGGAGGAACCCGAGCGAAATCACATGGAGTACCATGTGGAACAAAGTTACAAAATGTTCCATATGCCCTATGTGGAATACACGCCAAGTAGTCCTGGTACCTATTGGGAGCGACTTTATAAAGATGAAATACCACAGGCACAGCTTGAGATTCACAGTTTGAAAAGAAAGATTAAAGAGATAGATGAGCATAGGTCGAGGCTTGTACAGGAGAACCAAATACGGGTTGTGGCTGTTGAGAAAAGTAAGTGTAAGATATGAAGGTTGGAACAGGAGGTGTTGGAGCTAAGGAAACCCACTATCACTAAGTTGTGGGAACGGTTTGTGGCTCAGGAAAAACAAGCCAAGGCCGCGACTTACGAATTCCTAGATAAGGTGGTTGGAAAAAACCCACCTCAGGCCGAGGTGCTGGTCATTTAAAGTGGTCCCGGAGATCGAAAAGCTAAAAAGATAAGGAAGTATTTGAATGAGGGAAAGCGAATATTAAAATATGATGACATTGTTTTTAAAAAAGTAGAAAGTAGGAGTGCAATGATTTTTTTTTTCTCTTGGTTGTTGGCATAAGTGACTTGATGTGAACAAGACATATGTCTCTTTTTGAAGTATTGATAATTTGGAATAAAAATATGTTTATTATACTTATTGTGTTATAAACATAAATATGTAGTTAATATGTCTTCAAGAAGATCTAGGAGGTTTACTAGGGTCACCCCGGAGGAAGAACACATCCCAATTAGAGCTTATGTTAGGGCACCAGGAGATGTACCAGAAACCCCAGTGATCCCAAATGCTAGTCGTTGGCGGGGAAAAGGAAGAGGTAGGGGTAGAGGAAGAGGCCGAGGAGCTATTACAGCACTGATACCTGTATAATCGTACCATGGCAGCTCCGGATCCCACCGTAGTCGAGGTCGAGGTCGTAGAAGGGGTCATGCGGCAAACACGATCACTAGAGAAGAGTTGGCTGATGAGATTGCTCGAACGATTCGAGATACCTTACCAGATGTAGTTGCTCAGGAACGAGAAGCAATAATGGGTGAGTATAAAGGTAAATTGGGTGGAGGTGAAGAGGAATACAAGTACAATACACCAAATATGAGTCGTGAACCAAGTATTGCACAACCCTCAAGGAATCATGGCAACCACGATCAGCGAGGTTGTAGTTACAAGACGTTCATAAATTGTAAGCCACCCATATTTAACGGAGAAATTGACCCTGTTTTGTCATCAACATGGATTATGGAGATTGAGGGAACATTTGATATTAGCACGTGTGCGGATGAGGACAAGGTGATTTATGTTGCGACACTGTTAAAGGGGGAGGCAATACATTGGTGGGGCATGGTAAAGGAAGTTAAGGGGCGTGAGGCGGCCAAGAGGATGTCATGGAATGAGTTTCTAATAATCTTTAAAGAAAATTTTTGACCACGAACAACAGTTAAGCAGTTAGAGGAAGAATTCTTGAGGTTGGAACAGGGGAACATGACTGTGAGGGAGTACACCACTAAGTTCACGGAAAAAGCCAGGTTTGCCGAATTTTATGTTTCTACAGAAGAAAGAAGGGTGGAACGCTATATATAGGGATTGAGAACAGTTATCTGCGAATTTTTACAAATTCGGAAACCATGTACATTCCATTCGGCTGTAAATACTGTAGAAGGCCGCGAACGTGAGAAGAATCATCAAGGTGAAGACAGGGCTTTGGGGAAAAGAAAATGGGATGGTACGAATAATGATTCTAAGGAGGGAAAGACTTAAGGGAAAGAACGTAAGGTTGATCAAGGTTCTGGAGTAAAGCAATGCCCGAAATGCAACCGCTATCATAAGGGGGGGGGGGGGAGAGTAAGAATAGATGCGTAATTAAGAGTATTGAAGGTAATTCGGATATCTATATTAACTGAGAGAGAAAATGAGCTCTATATATAGAGACTCAAGAGTTACATTGGATCAAGTATCTAAGAGTAGCCATGCAAGCATACTGCACAATAGAGAGTATTAAATAAAAGTAGATAAAGTTCAACTAAGTACAAAATAATTAAGACTGCGGTTTGATGATGACTTTGTACGAGTTGCTGAGAAGGTCTTGACTGCGGATCCTTAAGGGCTGCGGTAGACAAAGTTCAAGAGGGTCACTTTCATGATTCAACAATGGTAAACAATTGACACAATATAATATCTTTACTCATTAATAAAACTCCTTTATTTAATCATCAAATGATAATTACATTTTATCTATTACAAGTTTCTAAATAGCTATTTAATCACTAAAACTAATATCGTCCTTCAGCCTAATACTCCTAGCGTGTTGCAAGTGCTTAAATCTACTCAGCCCCTTCGTAAAGGGATCTGTTGGGTTCTCCTTTGACAATACCCTTTTCACTATGAGGAGTCATTCTTCTACCTGATGTCTAATGAAGTGATATTTCCTGTCGGTATGCCTAGATCTACCATGATCCCTTGATTCCTTGGTTAAGGCGACCGCACCCTCTTTATCACATAAAATATCTATAGGCTCCTTTATGGTAGGTAAAAGTCCAATGTCTCCAATGAAGTTCTTTATCCATATCGTCTCCTTTGATGCTTTGCTCGCTGCTATGTTCTCTAATTCGCACGTTGAATCAGCTACGGTCTCCTGCTTGGAACTTTTCCAAGCCACTGCACCTCTATTCAGGGTAAATACCCAGCCCGACCGAGAGCAAAAATTATCTCGGTCAGTCTGAAGTTGACGTCACTATACGCTGACATTCTCAAGTCATCACTCCTACCAAGGGTACGGATCCAATCCATAGTCCTTCGTAAGTACTTAAGAATGTTCTTTACTGCAATCCTGTGAGATTTACCAGGGTTCCCTTGATATTAACTAACCATGCTCAAAGAAAAAACCATATTAGGGTGAGTACACGTCATATCATACATGATCGAGCCAACATTAGAAGCATAAGGTACTTGACTCGTTTCTGCTATCTCAGCATCGTTACTCAGACTCTGAGTCTTACTTAGTTTGGTATTGCTTTGGATAGGCAATTCTCCTTTCTAGGAATTCTCCATGTTGAAACATTTCAACACCTTGTCCAAGTAGGTACTCTGACTAAGTCCAAATAGTCTTTTACTTCTATTTCTCAATATCCTTATCCCAAGAATATAAGTATCCTCTCTGAGGTCCGTCATAGCGAAACACTTCTCAAGCCAAGACTTAATTTCCTGCAAGGTTGGGACGTCGTTTCCTGTGAGTAGTATGTCATCCACATACAATACCAAGAAGCTAACTATACTCCCACTAGCTTTGACATATATGCAGGACTCATCCTCGCTTCTCGAAAAACCAAACTCTTTCACTTTCTCATCAAAGTAAAGATTCCATCTGCGAGATGCTTGTTTCAATCCATAAATGGTTTTTTCAAGCATACACACTCTATTGGGGTACTTCACATCTACAAAACCCTCTGGCTGACTTATGTAAACATCCTCTATCAACTTCCCATTAAGGAAAGCGGTTTTGACATCCATCTGCCATATTTCATAATCATGAAACGCAGCTATGGCTAGCATAACCCTTATAGACTTGATCTTTGCTACCAGTGAGAAGGTCTCGTTATAGTCACCTCTAGGAGTTTGAGTAAATCCCTTTGCAACCAATCGGGCCTTATAAGTGTGTACTTTCCCATCCATGTTGGTCATCTTCTTGAAGATCCATTTGCACCCGACCGTCTTACGACCTGGTACATTGTCAACCAAGTTCCAAACTTGATTGTCATACATGGACTGAATCTTGTTGTCCATCGCCTCTTTCCACATTGCAGACTCTTGGCCTGCCATGGCTTCCTTGTAGTTTTTAGGTTCATCCAAGTTTATCAGTGTACTATCACTGATAAACGTATCGCCTTCAATTGTTATATGGAAGCCATATAACACAGGTGGAACACTAACTCCACTGGAATGTCTAAGAGGTAAGGACTCGTCAATCGGTTTAACAGGAGTTTCCTCCTCGGGTTGAGCTCTAGTGTTTGAGGTTCCTTTATTACTTGATTCTTGAAGCTCTTGAAGGTCAATTTACCTCCCATTGTCCTCTTGGCATATAAGTTCTCTCTCTCTCTCTCTCTCTCTCTCTCAGAAAACCCCTCTCATCACAACGAAGACAACACTGTCACTCGGTCTATAGAAGAGATATCCAAAGGACTTCTACGGGTAGCCAGTGAAAATACATCGCTCACTACGAGGTTCAAGATTATTATGAGTCTCTCATTTTATGAAAGCCTCGCAACCCCAAACCTTGATATGTGCCAATGAGGGAACCTTCCCTATCCACATCTCGTAAGATGTTTTGGAAACCTTCTTAGTTAAGATAGGTAATGAAGCTCGACTCATCATAGAACGAACCATGTCCAACAAGGTTTGATTGTGCCTCTCAGCTACACTATTCAGCTGCGGTGTCCTAGGCGGCGTCAATTATGAAACAATTCTACATTCCTTAAGATAGTCGTGGAACTCGATACTAAGATACTCACCACCTCGATCGGATCGGAGCATCTTTATCTTCCTTCCTAATTGATTCTCCACTTCTTTCTTAAACTCTTTGAACTTTTCAAAAGTTTCTAACTTATTCTTGCTTAAGTAGATATACCCATATCTGCTATAATCATCGGTAAAAGTCACATAGAAGAGGTTTACATCCCTCGTAGTGGATCTAAAGGGCCCACACATCGGTATGTATGAGATCCAATAATCACTCACCCCTTTGACAAGTGCCAGTGAAGGGTGATTTAGTCATCTTTCCAAGTAAACAAGACTCACACGTGTCATCGGACCTAAGGTCAAATAACTCCAACACTCCATCTTTTGGAGTTGGGCTATGTGTTTCTTGTTGAGATGTCAAAGACGATAATGCCGCAAGCATGCTTTGACCAAACCATTGGATGAATCAATATGCAACACATTATTCCTAAGTTATCTACAACCATCACAGTGTCATATACTCCATTACAAGACAATGCTTCAAAATAGAAAGTACCATTAAAGAAAGCATTTATAGAACCAATTTCGTTATTAAAAGAAAACCTAAAACACTATCTAAAAAACCATGAAAAGAAATAGTGTTTCTCTCCATTTCCGATAAATATCAACAATCATTCAAATCTAACCCTAACCCAATACTATACAATAAAGAGTAAACTCCAATATTGGTGGCAGGAAACGCTTTCCTATTCCCAATGATCAAGTTCATCTTCCCGTGCTCCACATCCCTACTTCTTCTTAGACCTTGCAAATCATAACAAATGTGAAAACTACATCCTGTATCAAGGACCCAAGAAATAGCATGTCATGAGTTGTTAGATTGAATAGTGTAAGTACCTGCAAAGGTGGGCTTTATCTTCCCATCCTTGATGTCCTGCAAGTAGTTAGGGCAGCTTCGTTTGCAATGCCCTTTATCGTGACAATGGAAGCACTCTGCGTCCTTTGGATTTGAAAATGGAGAAGCAGAACCACCTTTGGTCCCATTAGAAGAGGTTCCATTATGGGACTTTCCCTTGTGGCTCTTAGAAGGAGCCTTCCTCTTCTTTTCTTCCCTTATCCAATTGCCAAGACAGGGGTAGCATCAGTAGGAGTGGGTGCAACAGATTTGTCTTTTAAACTACTCTCAACAATTCATAGTGGGCCTTGAAACTTGCGTAGAGTGACTTCCTCCTTGTTCATATGATAAGTCATCCGGAATTGATCATAACAAGGAGTCAAAGAGTGTAGGATAATATCAATCGCTACCTCTTCGTCAAAGTTGACATTCAACTTTAGCAAGTGGTCCACATACCTTTGCATCTTTTGCAAGTGGGTTGTGATGGACTCTCCATCCTTCATTTTTGTTGTTATCATCAAGGAAATGATCTTGTACCTTTCTTGTCGAGCACTTTAATGGTACCTATCCATTAAGTCTTATTGCATCTCGAAAGGCCAAAAGTCATCATAGGACTTCTGAAGCTCAGGAGTCATAATGGCCAGCATGATGCACGACACCTTTGTCGCATCCTTCTCATGAGCCTTATTCTCACCCGATTCCTCAAGAGTAGCATTCTGTTCGTCAATCTCCTTTAGCTCTTTAACGATGACATACTCTTTTTCCTCGTATCGAATAGCCATGCGTATGTTAGGAATCCAATCATTAAAGTTTCTGCCATCAAAGATTATCCTCCCACATAGGTTCATGAGGGAGAAAGAGCCAGACGAGTTTGAGCCAACATCGTTGTTTGAAATAGACATCTGAAAAGGAAGAACAAGTTTTGATTAGATAGAAAATACTTAATATAACACCCAAACGGAATATTAAGGCTAAGACCCAAACACAATAATTCGTAATTCAGAAAAGGGATGTCGTAATTTAATTGTATATTATTTGAAGAGAGGTAAATGACGATTTACCAATTTCACCACTAAAA